CCCAAGGTCACATGGAGCCAAGGTCACATCCTGCTCGGTGTGATGCTGTTTGCAGTAGGCAGCAATAGCAGATGGCTGTGGAAGCTGGACAGGGCAACTGGTCAGATTTGGAGGCTGGATTATGCATCAGGTCACTAAAATTGCACAGGGACGGTGAGAGGAGTATTCTCAGTGCCTCACCTGGCATGTCTGAGCTGAGGCTGCTCTGCTCTCCAGTACTGCCACTGAGAGTCCTGTTTGGAACTGCCCTTTGGAGGTGCCTCTCCCTTTCCATTGCCTAAATTAGGTAGCCTCAGGTTAGGAGCATTGGCACATAGGAGCACAGGTTCCTTATTTAGCCACCTGAATGATTAGCACAGTGAGATGTTATTTAATATGTCTCTGTGCAGAGGCTTTCCTCTCAAAGTGCTGTACAGTTAGTGTTGTTGGAGAGAAGGAGGATGTGAAGTCCAGAATGAGAATCCAGCTGTGGAAGCAACTGAGAACATTTGGCTTTGGAGGCTGGGTCCAGATCTGTTAGAGGAATGGGCCAGGACAGAGCTGCCACTGGTGTTTGGTTGTAGGGAGAGAAGGGAAGGTTGGGTCTTGGCTGTGGTGATTCTGTGTGGCTGGACAGGTACTGAAAGCTGTGTCAGAGGCAGTTCTTTAACATGGCAAAACACCAGTCCTGTGTTTGCTTTCAGAGCTGGGCTCTTGTTTGTTCTGTGGTGTGACTGCACCTTCATGTTCTCATTGTTTAAGCCCAGTCTCCTCAGCAAAGCTCAGTTAGAAGACGACCTTGCCCCTTTATTCCAAAAAGCTGGACTGACTGGCATAGACAGTTGAGTCTGTTCTGTGATGTGCAGATATGGGCCACAACGATGCTGCTGCTCAGTTAAAGGTTACTAATTATGTCACAGAGATTGCAGTTCCTCACACCTCAGTGTTCACGTAAATAAAGGCTCGAAGCAACGTTCAGGTTTGAAATTACACTGTCTAGAACTGCATGACAACCTAAGTGATATCAGCTTTGTCAAAACAATGCTGTTGTTTACACCTTCAGAACATAGAAATGATCCTGACCCATCTATGCCAGTTCTCCATCTCATCTGGAGAAACCAAAGCCAGTGTTTTATCCCTCTTCTGTAACAAAGAATTCACTTCACGCTACAGTTTCTGATTCCATTTCACCAGATATACATTCAGCTCTGGGTTGGATATTAATGCTCTCAGAACAAAGACATCAGAGCAAGATGTGACTATTTTTATGATAGTGATGTTTTGAGTCAGTTTTGACCTCATGCCAACACAACCCAGGAACAATTCCCATTAAGTCTATTGATGTGAGCCTTTCCTCGAAGGGGATACTCAGGAAACCTTAGCTGAATTATATTTTAAAGTAGATTAGTTAAATTCTATTAAACCCTATGCAGATATTCATATTCAGAATTAAGTGGAATTAATCTGATTTAGTGTACTTCACTTTGAAAAGGAGGAAAGTTAAATCAAATGAAGGCCACTTTAACGCTGAGCAGCAGCACTCACGCAGGACTCCAGTGTAACTTTCAAGTCACACATGTGATTAATTTGGATTAATTTTTCTGACTTTCCCTGTGAAGACAGAGGACAATGAAATCATCATAGATGACCTGACCATATGTTCTCCTTCTCCTCCCAAAAAATCATTACGGACCTAGCTCATGCTGTATATTGGACAGTTGGTTTGGAGTTGTGGATCTGAAGCTGCTGTTCATTTCTAGTCTATAGTCAGTGCTCTTTTTTCCCTTAACTTTAAATTAAGCCCATCAGTGTAGAACCTCAGCATCTGCCAGGCAGGAGCAGGAGGGCACTGCTGGCTCTGTTTAATGCTCCTGTGGCAGACCTGTGCATGTGGAAAACTGGCAGCATGTGTGCCTGATTTAAATATGTATCTTCAGCTGTTCTGCATTGGCAGGACTAAATTTACTTGTAGATTTAAAATAGGTGAGTGATTTGACAGCTAAAAGGTCAGGACACCCCACTGTTCATTTTGTGCTTTGCTTTTCCCCATTAATAGAAAGTGGTCTGTAGCATCTGCTGTTATTGTCAAGGCTTTGTGGTGTAAGACCTGCCCAGACAAAATAGTCCAGTGTCCCCCAACCTTCCCCCAGCTTTGTATTTTGTCACAGTTGCTCTCCTGAGGATTCCAGCACTCAGCCAGAATATTCTAACTCACCAAGGTCTCTGTGGAGGGAGGGGTATTGACTTCTCCACCATGTGCAGATCGAATTTCAGGCTTTTAGAGTTTTGTGCATTTGCCAGGTACACTGAAATACAGATACCAGCTCTTCCAACCTTGCTGTGACTTTGGCAGCAGGCACGTGGCTGTTGTGCACAGCACAGGGACTCCCCTCTTCTCCTGTGAGGGGTGGCATCACTGCTCCAGGTGTGCACTGGCCATTCTCCCTGTCTGGATTCAGTGTTGGGGAGAGCTGTGAGAAACATCACAAATGTTTTGCAAGTCTCAGAGAGACCAGTGCAAATCCACAGCACTGAAAGTATTTGACCCAGTACCTTCCCTGGGAAGAGCTCTGCCTCTGGGTGTCACCTTGACAGCATGTTTTACCTCTGCACACCTTGCTGGCCTTGATTCAGCCTGTTCTGTGAACCCACTTCACCTCCTGGCAGCCACCAGAGGCTGTGCTGCTGCTCCCTGTACCTCACCCCCAGCTGCAGAGAGACAGGTGGAAGTTGGAACCTCCTCTGACTCTGGAAATGTGACTTTTCCAATGTGAGGAGTTGCATAAAGCTATTTCTCCACTGATACTTGGCAATTTAGGAGCCTTTAATAATAGAGGATCTGTCCTCAGCTCAGCTTTAAAAATGAAGCAGTAATAAACCCCAAACCCCAGAATAATGTGCTTTAGCACAGGACACAACAAGAGCCCAGGGTTTCTGCAGTTCCCAGGGACATTTTAGAAGCAGAGTCGGAGCCAGGCTTGGGGAGCTGGCTGGGGAGGCTCCCTGAGGAGGGCACGACCAGGCTGTGCCCCTTTGTGCCAGGAACTGGGATCAGTGTGGGGAGAAGTGATGGGCTGGAGGCCAGGATGGGCAATTTGCAATGTAGAGAATTCAGGTCCAAAGACAGCACAGAAACCATTGGTGGGGGAGAATTGAGGGGTGCTGAGGACACTGTGGTTGTGGTGTGGAAGGAGGTGGCACTCAGGAAGCTCCAACTCTCCTCCATACCCACCATCAGGGCCAGCTGAAGCTCCCTGGGAAGCTCCGGCTGCTCCAGCCCTTGTTGGGCTCTGCACACACTGAGTGGGCTGCAGCCTTGTTTGTCTTTTCCATGCTAAGCCTCTTTCCACTGCATTTAATATTTTACCACTGACAACCAAACAAACCAAGAGTAAAGCTGTTCTCACACACACACACAGCCCTGTGTGTGCCAAGATTCCCGCGCTCAGGCACAGCTGCTGCCTCATTCCCTTTAAAGCTTCTCAGGATAAAATTGCAAGGCCTGTCCTGCAGCTCCTGGGTCTTCCCCAGCATCTGACGGCAAATGAGATTTGTGAAAACCATGTGGAACCCCAAAGCTCATGTAATGTTCTTTTCTCACAAAAGTAGAAGCTTTAAACTGCCCTGAGCTGTGAAATTCTGATGGGGGCATTACAGAGAAGGGAACTGAGCCTCACAGTGGTTCTGGCAGAGAAATATTACTTATTATTTTACAGCCTGCTCAAGCACTGCTTTTAAAGATATTTAAATGTCTCCCTCACATATTCCAGTAATTTGAATTCTGCTCACATATCCAACTAAATGTTGGCTAGTAAATAAATTACTGTCGTCTCATCACCTTATAAAGTATCACAAATTTGAACACTGGTATGAAATAAAGAGTCTGAAAGATCTTGTAGGATTATGTTTTAATTCTAACTGAAATTATTAAGGAGAAGAGAATTGACACGGCCAAATTAACCCAAGGGTGAGCTAAAGGAGCCTGGGCAGCCAAGGCCAGCATGAGTCTGACCCGGTGTAATGTTGTAATGTCATTATGAACTGCCCTCAGAAGCAACAGCAATTAAGTGAAGGGTAAAAGCAGTGGTGAGGCTGTAATTTATTGCAAGACACCATTATTGGGAAAACAACCTTCTGACACAGAGAATTAATTTTTTTCTCCCCGTGCGCTGCTAATTGGTAAATACGAAGGGTAAATAAAACGACCTCTGCTAGGGCACGTTTCCTGGGTTGCTGGGTGACAGACGACTTTTGGCGAAGCGTTCAGACACCCACCAGCTTTCCTGGCCGCGCACACACGTTTCCTGCAGCGGCCGCTCCCTCAGCAGCGAAACTCCGCATGGCGTTGGGAGCACAAAACCGAAACCCTCGTCCTGGAGCGGGCGGGTTTATCGGGGCGGCCCGGTAGGGCCGGCACCGGGGGCGGGGGCAGCGGGAGCGGCCGTGACCCCGCGCGGGCCGCAGGAGCCGTTCCGCCCGTCACCGCCACCGGCCGCCGGAGCCCGATCGCCTGAGGGGCGAGCCCGCCGCCCGCGGGTCCCCCCATCCCCGTCCCCAAGCCCGTCCCCGTGCCCGCCCCGCTCCGCCCCGTCCCGCCCCCCGGCCGGCGCTGCGG